CATAAATATATACATATATATATAATATACATGGTGTGCATATGTAAGAACATATACATACAATATAGCATATACATACATAGACCGAGCTCATGCCTTTTAAACCCATCCCTCTGTCTCATCTCCCTTATGAAACTTCTTCCTTTCCAGGATCAAACTATCCCCCATTCCTGGCGTGTGTTAGGCTATTTGTGTGCTGACTCAAAGAAGCAGTCCAATGCCGCTCTTGGCCAACACGCATTTGTCATTGCACTACAACTCCAACCACAACACGCGCCAACTTGGACCAATCTTGGACTGCTGTATCTGGCGTACGATAACTTCAAACTGGCACTGAAGGTACTGAACCACCACCCACTCTATTTTGGAGGAACCTTGTACAAGTTCAAGAGGGTATCTACTTCCTTTTAAATTGCCTGTGATCATGTGTTCAGTGTTATGTGTTCCGTGCGCAATTTTGGGATGCTCTCGAGTCTTTCCTGACGGATTTGGAAAGGTTTGCAGGGCAAACCGCCCTGATTTTATCTACAATGCCAATCTGAAACCTAACGGTCCCTGACTTCGGGTGCAAATACTCACCTCCAACGATTGCGCCAGTCTCCGCCATGATCACCGTGGTTTATTTTTGTTCGATCTCGATTGCTCTATTCCGTGTATAGTACTGTCGTCACTGTTGCTCGCGTGCTGGTAGGTATATTGTACCAATTGCCTCCACATCCACCTCGTGATAGCTTACCACCCCTGTTTGGCTGTTTCGCATATAAACATAGGCACAAACATCGAAGATACAACCACAAACAAAACCAGCATCAAAGACACGGTGTATTGGCACATACATCACGCTTGCAGTACGTCTCCTTGGGACGGATCGTCTGGGCGAATGCATCTGTTCTATTGCGTGCATAGTGCATCTGCAGTGGTGTTCATACCCAAATGTACCACTCTGACGTCTGTTTCGTTAGTCGCGCTTCTCTGTTCGGTGTGTAGTGCATCGACACTGCGTCTCGCGTGCCCCGACGCACTACTATGACTTTATTGATGCTAAATCTATATCACTATCTATATTATCTTTAGCACATCCACTCTACCCTTTCTATATAGCAAAAGATACACTATCTATACTACATCCTCAGCATCTCTCATACTTATTTGTACCCCGTGCTAAACCATCCCCCCCCTGGTACTGCACACTGCAGTGTTTCTCGCGTGCCCAAACCTGCGACCCGGCCTTTGCACCGGCGTGGGCGGGACAGGCCTTCATCGCTACGTCATTGGGTGACCACGTGGGCATTGAACTGTACCACCACTCTGCGGAGATGGATGAGCCTGTGCCGGAGGGTCTGCTCGGCTTTGCACAGGTGTGTGTATGTGAGTATGTGTTTATACAGGGTGTTTAATCTGTGTGTACATGGATGTCTAACTGTATCTGTATATATGTTTATATATGATGTGTAGGTACATATATTTCTATCTGCGTGTTCAGGTGTCGGCATATTTTTATATTTATGTGCATGTACATATATTCCTATCTGCGTGTGCAGGTGTCTGTATGTTGATACATTTATGTGTATATACATATATTCCTATCTGCGTGTTCTTCTGAGCTTATCTTATGTACCGAAGAAATTGTTTGGCTTTGCACAGGTGCGGCTAGATATCTTTGTACATCGACGCTCACTCGCATTCATTCATTTAGAAATATGTATATATCTGTATATTCTAATCTATCTGTATATAATCTAACCTATCTGTATATAGTATGTTTGTGTGTTTGTGTTTTGGAGGGCTTGCTTGGCTCCACACAGCAGCTAAGTAGGTTAGTACACATATGATAGCACAAGCAATGGTGCACAATACCGTATACTCTGTCGTATGCGATGTGGCTATAGGCACTGCATCTCTCTGCGTTACATTAGACACGCACCAGTGCTCCCTGCAGAGTAGGTAGATTCTTAGCCTGTGGCCATTCTCATTGGGCTTCCTGTTCCTGATTACACAATACAGAACACATACCATGACTTCAAGAAACGCGCTGCGCCCAACCAATCCATAAGCCAGTTCTATCTTGCTCAGACCCTCGACGCTCGCCCCGTTGAGTTGTTGAAGGTGGCCATGCTGTCGTTAGGTAAAATAGTTTGATCTACAAATATTCTTGCATAGTATGTTTATATTTATGTTATATATATATATATATATGTATGTATATATGTATATATATGTATATAAACGCGCTTATGTTTTCGTGGCCGAACTCGGACATGATAAGAACAGTTTCGTCTGATAGTAGAGTCTACCCTGTTCATTCTCGACCTTTTGATTCTTTTCTGGATTGCGATTTTAGAGCTCATTGCTGTATTTTCGAAACATTTTTTCACACGTGGATGGAGATCTCATTTATAGAGCATGTTTGCGTATTTGTGGGGCTCACAAACTCGTGCGAGGGGATTGTTGTTCAAAGTCTGTAGCATGCGGCCTCGCACTCGAAGGTGTCTTTAATTTTTTCATCATCTTGTGCATGTGCAAAATTCAGTATCTTATGTATCTTATGTTTGAGGCTTATTTCCTCACGATTGGGTCATATTATTTAACTTTTGGGGCTTATTTCTTCACGAGTGGGGCTTAATATCTCATCTCACTTGCGGCGCGTATTATATTTTTCTCATTATTTTATACTTGTGCGGGAGTTCAATATGTTCTGTATCTAATGTTTGAGGCTTATTTACTCACGAGTGGGGCTTATTATCTCGCTTGTGGCGCGTATTATATTTTGCTCATTATCTTATACTTGTGCGGGAGTTCAGTATGTTCTGTACCTAATGTTTGAGGCTTATTTTCCTCACGAGTGGGGCTTTTTATCTCATCTCACTTGCGGCGCGTACTATATTTTTCTCATTATCTTATACTTGTGCGGGAGTTCAGTATGATCTGTATCCAATGTTTGAGGCTTATTTCCTCACGAGTGGGGCTTATTATCTCATCTCACTTGCGGCGCGTACTATATTTTTCTCATTAATTTATACTTGTGCGAGAGTTCAGTATGTTCTGTACCTAATGTTTGAGGCTTATTTCTTCACGAGTGGGGCTTAATATCTCATCTCACTTGCGGCGCGTATTATATTTTTCTCATTATTTTATACTTGTGCGGGAGTTCAATATGTTCTGTATCTAATGTTTGAGGCTTATTTACTCACGAGTGGGGCTTATTATCTCACTTGTGGCGCGTATTGCCTGTCGTATAAAGCGTATAACTTCAGGTACGAGACTGTTATCTCGTGAGACGTATGTTCTATATTGCCTGTAGTGTTCTACGCCATCCGAAGGTGTGCGAATGTCTGTGGCCTTCACCAACGCATGTGTGACACGTGTTCTCTTGTATGCGTGGGTTTGTTATGTCTTTCTTTGTTGGGGCGCACCACCGCGCTTGTGGGGATCGGTATCACCTTGTATGCGTCATACATGTTTTAGGGTTTTAGGGTTTGCGCTGGCAGTCTTTTGCCTCCATATGGAAGAGTGTTGACTGATAGGCTCAGCACTCACTCCACATCGAAACACTAACGTCCACCGCATCACCTCTCTGGTCCTATGTATAGAGCGCTCTACGGTCAAGTTCCCCACGGACGAATGGGCATGGAACACCCTGGGCGTCATTCGCGAGGTATGACGTACATGTATAAATATCTGGGTGTCAATGTATATGCACATGTTGCAAGTCTATGGGTGTCATGTATATGCGCATGTGCTTTCATGGCCACTGACACGTTTAGCATCCGGAGGGGTGTTGATCTGGACTCAGTGATTACAGAATGAAATGGCCCTGTAGTCCACTGGTTTATATATACTGGTTGCCAGGCCTGGCTCCCCTTAGCGTGTTGAACCGGCCTGGGTTGTACTGTGCATTCTACGCAATGGTTGACGGCCAGGGATATCCGTCTTATTAACTCTAAGATGTTATCGACCACGGCTTAACCCATCGCACACTATCCTGTCCACGGCATTCGCTGACCCGTCTGTTGCGTCAGTCAATGTTGCATGCCTGCACATCATACAACATCCAGCCTTGCGTTCCGCCGAACACGTGCTGCGCAATGGGTTACCAGTAATAGGCGCTACCCTGTCTATAGTCAACGGCTGAATAGTCTCGCTGTGGCTCTGCTAAACTGTATTCGAATGAGACGGTGCAGTTTCACGCAGCTTTCTCTCACAACTGTCCGTACCGTTGCCTTTTGAAGACATTGTAAACTTGTGAACAAAACAGGTCTGACAAAACGACGAACAGCCTGTGCACTTATTTCGACTCCTTGTCATATCTCATAGTCCCATCTCATACGTTCATTCACTCCCTGCTATTGGTAGCTGCTTGGCCTGAATATCTCATAGTCCCCTCTCATTCGTCCATTCACTCCCTGCTATTGGTAGCTGCTTGGCCTGAATATCTCATAGTCCCCTCTCATACGTCCATCCACTCCCTGCTATTGGTAGCTGCTTGGCCTGAACATCTCATAGTCCCCTCTCATACGTCCATTCACTCCCTGCTAATGGTAGCTGCTTGGCCTGAATATCTCATAGTCCCCTCTCATACGTCCATCCACTCCCTGCTATTGGTAGCTGCTTGGCCTGAATATCGGTGCGAAGGCGGCGCTGAGCACATCGCTCGACCTGCTGCTGTCATCCGCTGACGCTGTGACGCAACCCGCGCGTGTCAGTATGGTGGCGTCCAACCTTGCACGCGCCCTATGTAGCACACAGCAATACGAGCAGGCACTGGACGTCTACGCTAAGGTATACGAAGTGGTGGTTGTGGTGGTGAACTGTTTCGAAAGATCGGGGTATGTCTATGAGCGGAGGCTTAGGTCACGAATAAAGCGTGTGTGAGTGTGTGTGTGCGAAAGTGTGTAATAGTGTGTGAAATTGTGAGTATGTGAGTGTGCGAGTGTGAGTGGGTACATGACTTCGGTGTGCGCTGGTGTACGTGTATGTCCGAGTGGGCAAACGGTTCGGTCCACAATCTGGCCGAGGGTAGCCTAATATCTAAAACTTAGCAAACACAATTGGCTTTTTTTCTTCCTTTTTTTCTTTATAATGATCAAGCCCAAGTGGCTGTAGCCGTTTGGCAATGTATACAACATGCCTCTTGCCTGCGCGATGTAGCTTTCATTCTGAGCCTATTCCTGCTGTATGTCTGTGCATAGCCTTCTCAGGCCAATCGCATACACGAGCTTGAAACCTATTTAGATATGGTTCGGCCTTGGGGATGTGCAATTTGGCAAGTGGGCGGTCGCCTATTGACAATTCCTTTGAGTAGTTCTGTGGGGTCTGTCAGTGAACATCATTGATGACATTATTGATATGGGTTCCTTCGCTTCCGTTGGAGCCAGACGCCCGCTCATCCCAACGAGGAGAGAGAATGCGATTGGTTTCAAGTTTGGAGATATGAATCATCTCATTTCGCTTTGATTTTGAATCGTGATCGTTAGTCTGTGGTCCACTCCTCTGCTACCTGCACATATTACTATGCGCCTGACAGTGTACGCGCAGCTGTATAAACTATTAATTACACATAGAAAACCGGGTCAAAAGATTATCTCCAATAGTCCTTCCTACATTTTACTGTCGCGTTGTATCCTAATTCGTTCCTGCATCACCTCGCTCGCTTACACAAGTACACTCCAGGAACAGCCGATCTGTTCTGTGCTCTTGGGATGGGAAGAGCTTATTACCAAACTGGTCGCATGTCTGACGCCCATCAAGCTTATACGGCGGCTCTGGCTATCGCCAATGACAAAGGTGAGGTTGCATGGAGCAGCGCAGCTGGTATAGTCTGCGGTATACGTTATGTTTGCGTTTGCATTCGTACGCGCACACACGGCTGTGTCCCATAGAGAGCGGTTTGCACTGGTTGGGAAACATCTGAGTTGGGAACCTGAACATTCAGGGGGAAAGGTGGTTCTGCATATGGCACGTGATTGGAATGCAGTGACCTGCCAAAGTGAAATGCAACGAACTTCTTACTATCTGGACTGGATACTCCACTGACACAATCATGAGTGAGTATGAGTAGCATCAGATTTTAATGTCAAAGTCAAGTACTCGTGCGTGAGTCCAAACCCCCTCGCACCAGTTCCGGCATTCATTTGATGCATAGTAGTCCTCGAGCCATGTTAACCAAGTACCCGATTCACTGTACACCTGGTTGCAGGGTGCTACTGCACACACCCTGGTACATTGAGGTTTTGGAAGCAAAAGTAGGACCTGTATAGTCTCAGCTTGTTATGGAGTATAACTGACTATTCAGCTAGTTTCCGAACGTTCGAGATTGATTACCATAAAAAGTTAAATCAACCCCCAAACCACCCCCAGTTGTAGTACTCGACACAAGGCTATTACATATCGCCGGTCTCATTCGCCCCTTTGCAGTTGTTCCTAAACTGTCGCTGTGCTGATCTCTCGTACTCGCAGGAGATACGGCCACTGCTTCAGACATTCAGATTGCCATTGGGCTGACGGCCTACGCGTCCGGTGATATCGCGGCGTGCAAAAGTGCTGTCTTCGCGTCGTAAGTGAGCAGAGATGTTGGTTCAAAACGAGCCTTCTCACTAGCGCACACGTTGCCTGCGTGTCATTGCGCTCGTTTGCGTACGCTTGCGATTTTAGGCGCGGTTGTTGTTGTCATGAATAGACACGTACTGTGGCCCTAAGCCCTAAGGTACAAACAACAACCTTGTATGTTATATCTAAATTGTATACAATTATCGCATGCGCTCTGTAATCCACAGGCTACATCTCGCACCACATTCGGCGAATAGCATTGCCACATTGGGTGCACTTGGGCTGCTACAGTCTGATCTGCAGTTGGTGGGGGCTGCTCTAGATGAGGAGAAGAAACTCCCCTTTGACAAGCGACACAATTCAAATATAGCATACGATTTCTCACTCATCCGCTCGTGCTGGTGGTTGCTTCAGGTTTGTTCAACATATGGGTTTTCGTGTGCATAAACTTATATATATATATTTATATATATATATATATATAACACAAACGCGCACACAACACACACACACACATTATATATATATATATATATATATATATATATATATATATATATATATATATAGTTGTGTGTGTGTGT